CATTGGCAACCTGGGCCAGGCTCTCCCCACCCTCACAGCACAGAATTTCTCCCTCACATCTCATCTCCAGCTCCCTCTGCCAGCTGAAAACTCTTCCCCCTGCTCCCATCCCTCCCTGCCCTTGTCCCAAGCCCCTCCCCAGCTTTCCTGGAGCCCCTTCAGGCACTGGAAGCTGCTCTAAGGTCTCCCTGGAGCCTTCTCTTCTCCAGGCTCAACACCTCAACTCTCCCAGCCTGGCTCCAGAGCAGAGACCTCCAGAGGTTTAACCCCCCTGCTTGGGTTGCACCCTCTGCTTCATTTCTCTGGCAGGTTCTGGCTCTTCTTTCACTTCACCCAAATGTCAAAGCAGGCCATCAATCCAACCCAAACAAACCCAAACCCACCAGACCAGTCCTGCTTTCCATCCATCCTCTTTTCTGGGCTCTCCAAACCCAGTTTTAGCATTTTATTTCTGGGGCCACCTCCCTTCTCCTGTGGGTTTCTCCTTCCCGCACCCCCAGCTTTGCTGCGGGGCCAGTAACCTCTCTGCTCTGGGGAAGGGGAGAACAAGGGCTTTGCTTTCACCCATGAACATTCATCTCTTGGACAGTCAGCACCTCCTGGGTGCTCCTGGTTGCTCCTGGTCCTGGGCTTTTCCCTGGATGAGATGGAGGGGACCCACCTTTCTCCTCCAGGAAGGAAGGACTTTGTCCCTTCGGTTGCCGCTCTCCAAGTCTTCGGCGTGAAGAACCAACAGGAGAAGGGAAAACATCAAACACAAAACAGGTTTTGTTTTCTATTTTCATATCTCCAGGGGACTTTGTTTAAGAGACCAAACCCCAAGAGCTGCCCTAACCTGAGCAGCAGCAGCAAACAAAGAGCTCAGTGTCCTCTGGAAGGTGGCACCTGAAGATGAGTAACGCGGAGGTTGCACCACAGGTGGAACAAGCAGGAGCATGAAGTGTCTGTTCTACCTATTGACTGTAAAAAGAAAAAACAACCCAAACACTGAAGACCTGGAGCATTTTCCTGAGCTCCACACACCCTGCCCATCATCTCCCTCCTGTTCTGAGGGAAACAGGGACCTTGCAGGCACTTGCAAGGAGGTGGCGCCGGCCCCGCGTGGTTGAGCGGGTGGAAACCAAACTGGTTTCTGGTCTCTGCTGACTTGGTGCTTGATGGAGGTGGAGCCTTGGACAGCCCAGAGGCTGGTGGGTGTCCTGTTCCTTGGCCTTGGAGTTGGCTGGAGCACTGGTTGCTTTGAAGTCAGGGTTTTGAAGGCCGAGGTCGTTCTTTTCAAACTTCAAGCCACCACCAAAAACCCAAGCAAGGTGCAAGGGAGGAATAAAAACCCCTCCTGATGTCTCAGGACCTCCAGAAACCTCAGCCACTTTCAGGTGGCACCTTTGGGCTGGCCTGGGCTGGGAGTTGACCCCAGGCTCTCCTCCCTGCCTGCCACCTGAGACAAAAACCAGGTGTCCTACTAGAATGACCCCAAACCAACTCATCTGTCACCCAGCAGCCCAACTGCAGCTGGTGCTTGGGTGGGTGCCCTGAGGCTTCTCCAGGTTTGGGCACCAAGACATCAGGTTCATGGAGCTTTTGCAGCTCTGCTGGGAGAGTTGGGGTGTTCAGCCTGGAGACAAGAAGGCTCCAGGGAGACCTTAGAGCAGCTTCCAGTGCCTGAAGGGGCTCCAGGAAAGCTCCAGGAGCTTTCCTTGCAGGGGGGTTGGAACTGGATGATCTTTCAGGTCCCTTCCAACCCAACCCATTCCATGCTCCCCTGACCCCACAGCCCATCCTGCCCCACACCCCATCCTCTCCTTCCACAAAAACCTGGAAAGCAGAAAAACCAGTGAGGAACCAACAGCTCCCCCCTCCCCCCCTTCAAACCAGACTTTAAAACCCACCAACAACTCCCTGGAGAAATGAAACCATTTCCCACCAAACTAAATATTGGAAACACACGTTGGCAAAAGGGGGGTGGGAATATATTTTTTTGGGGGGGGAGGTTTGTTTGGTCAGTTATTCCCCCCCCCACAGACCTTGGGTTCCCTCAACCCAACCAGGTTCTCCTCCCTGGGCATCTCCCCAACCTGGATCCACCTCACTGGTGAAAAAAAACCCCAAAATCCTACTTTCCTCCTATTTTTCTTTCCCCCCCCCCATTTTTTTTTTTTAGGACATTTGGGTGTCTGAGGGGCCTCCCCCTTCCCCTGGGCAAGGACATTTTCCAGGCATGACATCATGTTTGCTCTGGAGTTGAGTTATTGCCTGGGAGGAGGTGGAGGAGGTGGAGGAGCTGGGGGAAAAATCCAAGAAAAGGAGGGAGGAGGGGAAAAAAAAAGGGGTAAAAATCCTGCTTTTCTTCTCCACCTCCTTTGGGAGGCTTCAGAAAAGCTCCTTGGTCCTTCCTGGGAGGGTCTCAGTGTTGGTTCCTCAACGTTTAATTCATGGTTTCTTGAAAGCCCCGTGGTTGAAAC